TATATTCCATTATTCATCGCTGCAAATATTATATATTCAAATATATTCATTATAAACTCATATTTATTTTGTCATATTGCGTCGCATATTTGATAGGTTGTTGTAAGTTATTATAATTTGTAATAAGCATTTTCTTCTTTTGTTGTTCGAAGATGGAGTCAAATCCTAACCTGTCATATTAGTAGCAAGAATGGTAGTCAAGTGGTGGTGTCGGTGGAACTATCGTCATAATCACAGCAACTGTGGTCCTGATCACAGCAACAATCGTCTTCTGGATACATCATATTCATTAATGGACAATGTTTTATGAGAGCCTCGAAAAATCCTGGCATACAATTCTGTGAAAATAAAATACATGCACAACATATAATGCAAATTGGAATGTAATGTATTTAAAAATATTAAAAAAATAATTATATACGTATGTATTACATAATTACACTCTAAATTTTTTTGGGAGTGAAATTTTACTCCCAAGAAGAGTTGCGCCAGTCCGACAGAAATGAAATTTTTATTCTTAGAGAGTGAAGAATCACTCTTCAAGAATGAAAAATCACTCCAAGCAAGAGTCAATTTTCAATCTCTTTCAATCTCAGCAAAAAATGAATAATTTCGCTCTCAGAAAGCAAAGACTAAAGTAAATGTCAAGTTAGCCTCCTTTCTAATCTTAATGAAATTAAGCTCATTTGATGTATTTTTGCAAAAAACAAACGAATATGACAAAAAAAGCGTCGCTTTGTTTCGCAAATATTATTAATAATTAATAATTAAAGCTGATCTTTTTGAAAATTCACTCCTTGCAGGAGTGAAATTCATTTTTGCTGAACTGGCGTAATTATTACTTTTCTTGAAATGAAATTTTATTCCCAAAAATTTAAAGTGTATGTTAAACTTAAAATAACTTATGTTATTTTTGTTATAAAAGGAAATAAAATATCTAGTTTCTATATGAATATACTTACAGCCTCTTTGAACATGGCGTAAGCCACGACAACGAATAGATACAGCAATACTGCACGCATGTTTAGATTTGCTTATTGCTAGACTTCTGATGTTTTGATACAGAACTATGATGCTACAGCATTTTATACCTTATTTCTGAATATTAATTTATTTATCGTTATTAATATAGAATAATACGCTTTTGTATTACCACATATCTCGCATTTATGCATTGTTGCAATTAATTATTGAATTTTAAGGAAGGTTAAATTATTCTGCGCAAGTGTGCGACATAGATAACAAAATTGTCTTGCATTCATAAAGATGTCTGAATAATACATACGTGTACACTCAGTGAGTGCAAAAAGTATTCGTACAAGGAAACATTTTTATTTAAAAAAAGTCTTATTCGTAGAAAATAAACATTAATTAACAATTTTATACAATGAATATATTACGTTATAATATAGACAAACGAGCTTCGCGTGTATTCCTGATTTTAGAAGTTTTCTGTACGAATACTTTTTATGCGTCCAAATAATACTATATATAATAATATATATTTTTAAGATAATATATTTTATTTAATTATTATACATCTTTTTGATACAATAATTTTGAAAAATATCTTAATATTTATTTTATTTTTTATGAATAAATTGTTAGCAAGAAATGACGATCAATTAGATGTCGAATCGATGTTGAATTAGTATCAATATCATCGCATCGATATCTGTTCGACATAAATTTGATGAATCTTTTTTTCTGTATGGATAATGTTTACTTTTTAAAAATAAAGTTTTTTTAAATATTTTAAATATTTTTAATTTTAAATATCTTTTCTATGCGAATACTTTTTGCACTCATTATAAGTACATGTATATAAATTACAAACCAAACATAACATACGCAACAAAACATACGCTCTTCATCAAAAATACAAGCTTCTTTATTCAAACCATTTCAAACAGTTTGTATTCAAATGAGTAGCTATTGTATAATAAATTAAAATGAATAATATTTTAAGTTAATATTTATTTGTCAAAATATCGTTTTCTCTTACAGTCAATGTTAAAGTTTTTTAATCATTGAGAGAAATTTATATGTTTTTAACATAAAATAGGAAATACTATCAAGTTGTTTTATAAAATCCATTATTGCATCTATTAATGTTACATTTTGTTGGATTATACGTTCAATTAATGTGAATTTTATGCTCTTATTAATGATATTGGATTATAACATAAAAGAGAACGGGAAAATGACGAGAAAATAATCATTGGTGATTCATATATAACTTACATTCATATAAGCGATACTATTGTTGTGCGCACGAACAATAATATTTCTTTATGGTATAACGGATTTAAATGTCAGACTTATAATGAATCACGTTTAATTATGGGATATTTTAGATGTAATATGAAAACGTGCAACTTCTCGATAATTCGGTTATTACATACAAATTACTACCATTTTTTCCTCCCTCTCTCCTGCAAATCAAGCTGAAGAAAGAGATTCTTGGTCATCCATCATCTTTAGCATTTCATTCAGTGACAGTCGGTCGACCGACTGCTGCTGTTGACTATATAAACGCTGTATAAACTTGCTGAACAAACAAACGTTTTATGGTTGTTCATCAGCACTATCGTCTTCGTAATGTCATGACGCATACGTTTCCTAGCGTGTAAGATAAAGTGCATATATTTTATAGAGTAACGGCTGCATTTTTCATTCTCTAAGGAAAAATCGATATTGACGGTCTTCATCAGGATAGCTCTCCCTGGTGTGCTTTCTCTCTTCCCTTTCTAATATAATCCAATATTCTTTCACCGGAAAAGTTCCAGCTCTAGTTATAGCCTCTACATAGATTCACGGTAACGTCTCATTATGATCCCAAAAATGCGATAATAGTATTTAATCACGATAATATCCATTAAGATGGATCACATCGGTTCAACAAATAAAATTTTCAACTGTATCCTCAAAATTTAAATAAATCAGAAAAGCATTTCTTCCTATAAAATCTAAAATGGAAATGTAAAAGAAGAATTCAACAAATATGTCTTTTTTTAATATTTAGATATAGTTTCTTTCCACACATTCGTAGAGAAAATTTACTGCGTGACCGTCAATTTCAGCTTTACGTATCGGCTCGCTTATCAAAGTAGATAGTGCTACGTTGCATCGGAAATAGATAGAAAATGGTCGGCCAATATTTACTACGACGCTTTGACTGCCGTTCCAGTCGTGCCAGCGGCATTTCGCGAATCGATTCGTCTCGATCGGGACTCCCGTATTCTACCGAGGAGGAGAATTTCACCGGAAGCGATGTACAATCGTCGCGACGCCGCCGGGTCGTGTGCCACGTGAGAGGGAAGGGAGATGGAGAAGCGTCGCGCAGCGGCGCGGCGGTGGATGGAGAAGCGGTAGACACTCGCGACGACATGGAAGGTGAATTTGGGCGCGAGAGAGATCACGAGTGGTAGTGAAAAATGAAGGTACGAAACGGGGAATCGCATGAAGGGAAGCTTGACGCATTGCGGCGGGGAAATATGGGTCGTCCCGATTATGTCGGGACGAGCACCGCGCCGGAATCTGACAGTGGCAGAGTGACGCCGCAAAACCTCATACATCTCGTGTATAACTAATGTCCGCATATATCACCTCTTCGTCTCCTGTGTGTATTTCTTTTCTTTTTTTTTTTGTTTATTTTGCCGAGCAATGCATGCCACGCGTGCGCTCAGCGGAAGCTCGTTCCTCGTGCGTTCGAGCGCGATGGAACATGTCCATTTCATTTAAATGCAACGCGGAAAACGCGCGCATCGTGCGCTCCAGCACGCTTCGGGCAGTATAGACTTTATGGAAGATAGCGCGCGAGATGATACATTACCTTCTGGCTCGCTTCACTTCCCCGATCGCACGCTCCATGTCATTGTTTGAAAATCGTTCCTCTTATTTGTAAATTAGTCATATTCTCAGATATTTATTAATCTATTTATTATTACCCTTACCGCGAAATAATTTCTTTGAAAATTCATACTTAAAATTAATGTGAGAAATAATTGGTGCGTTAGAAACTATTGTTATTTTTTTTAATTTTTTTTTCAATGTTATTTCTTATTATTTGTCATATAATGAAAAAAATATTGAGCAATTAACAGTATCATAATTGTTAGTAATTTCCCCATTTAATAATATGACTGTTATATATTACAATTATATTGTTGAGTGAAAAATTATAATTAATTAAGTTATATTATTGTTAGATGGTGTTGACTGAGTGGGAATATCTATAGAAAAGATTTTTTGAAATCCAATGTTATTAATTTTCGATATATCGTTAAAAAATAACAGAAAGGAACGATCATATTTATTGTTGAAAGAGAAATATTTTGCTTTTAAATAAAAAATTCTTAAGTCTAAGATGAAATAATTAACCACATCGCGCTAAATATTGTAGCGTTAACATTGGGTAAATATTTATTCTAAACGTAAAAATATATAAACTCTTTAAATTCTTTGAAGTTGAAGTTTACTTTAAGAATAAAAATTGAGCTAGTTTTTAAATAGAATGATTCGATTTTCAATCTTTAAGGTTTTACTTTTTAAAGAAATTTATTTTAAAAATTTTAGAGAGTAAATTTATATGTGTTACTCTCTTCTCTCAGAATAGAAGGAAGAGAATAGAAAATTAATCTAATTTTAATATCGTTTTGTTTTTATACATAAAATTACAATAAAATCAGTACGTTAATCATTAAAAGTACGTTAAGAATTTTTTGTCATTAGAAGTCCATTCCAAGAGAATATATAAACGTAAAGAAATCATAAGAAAATTAGCATAATTTCCTACATTTTGTTAAATATCTTCAAATTTCCTCATGAGAGAAGAAGAGAGAGAGAAAGAGAGAGAGAGAGAGAGAGAGAGAGAGAGAATTAATTCCGTTAAAACTTTGTCGCTTTATCTTACGATATTTTTTTATTGACAGTGATGGATGTTTATCTAGTTCAAAATGGCATTCTTTTTTGCAAATTCGTTTTTGCAAATTGATTTCATACAAATGTCAATTACACTTTAACCCTTAAACAATTTAATATAACATCGGTCAAATACATCGGGAGCAAATACAATGCTTCGTATCAGCTTCACGTCTTTTCGTAGTAGGTGGTCCAAACAGTAGACGAAAATTAAAGAACGTTAAAAGGGCATTGTGCTCGTTAGCACGGTCAACCTGCTTCAACCTGCAGCGGGCAGTTAATTGGTGTTCGTCCGGCGAGGAATACCGGTCTTTGACGAGTCTGTCTCGAGTAGAGATCTAAGGGTTGTGTTTACTCTGTGGACAAAGTCAGCAAGGCCCGAAATGCCTGAACAATACGAAGCAGTGGCGGTAACTGAAGTGTCCTGAATCCTTCGCGGTTCGATCTCGTTTTGAGATTTTCAAGCACCGTCGTGTTAATCGACCACCGCGATCGTCACCATTGTTTTATCACACCCAAGAGTCCTTTCACGTCCTTTAATCGGTGCAAGACGTCATGCATTTAGACGTCCTACGTTTCGAGCACCTACTTTTTTTTCCGTTCTTTCGTATTTCTCTCTTCTTTTTATCTCTTCCTCTGTCTCCCTTTCCCAGGTGCGACAGCGACATATCCATTTTTACCGATGCTCGAAGCTTTGCGTTTTCTCGAGTGGATTCTCCGCTTCTCCCATCTCAACCTGCCATATTCCTTTAGCAGGTATGTGCACGAACATTCACCCCGGTACGAATACAGGTGTGCGCTGGGCCGAATAAGCCCAGAAGAGGCACGAGGATGATGGCAACTCGTGCGTCTCCAAGCTTCGTCGATGTCGTTGTCGTCATGAGACTGTCGCGGCAACCACTTCCGTTTGTGCGCGTTTTCATTTCTACGAACGTTTCGTCACGCTTGTCACATGCTTACCGCACGAAAGAGACCGCGGTCTGGTAAAAATATTGTGATGGTCGGTAGTATCGTTATTGTCCACCGTTCTGAGTTCACCACTACCCATCGGGCGGCGAACGATGCAGAAATGTATGCGGTTTACACCGAAAAGAAAGCATGATATATGACGTGGTATAACGTTGCGTAAAAAAAATTTCCATTATTGAAGAAGATATATTATATAAAAATATAATATATAAAGTTGAAATTATAAAATACTTGTTTTACAAGCTCCGACTGATTCGCGATAAGCGTTACATAAATTATTGCGATGTAAATTGACCTACATAGGCGCATTATCATTGATAGAGATGCACATGCGGCATTTAAATACAGCCTGTTCCGTTTGTAGCTTGAGTTGAAATTAATAAACTTTTTAAATATGAAATATACCAGATGCATTATTTTAATTTTTTATTTTTTATTTATTAATTAAAAAATGAGGAATGACATGGAAATGTCTTAACATTTAGTGTGTATATATTTAGTGTGTATATATAATAATACGAATAACACATTAATATTTGCTATTGTTAGATACATAAATAATCTATTTATTATATGTATCTGCGGTTGCCATGTACGCTAATGTATGAATTAAATATACGTGCACTGTATGAATTAGATATAGAAAGTTTCGATAATGCATAGTTTATATAACAAAATTGTGTGATAAATAGGATCTTTGAAAACTGGAAACTTATCTGATATACTATTTATAGCTTTAATCTGCATTTGCATTCTCTCTCTTTCTCTCTCTCTCTCTCTCTCTCTCTCTCTCTCTCTCTCTCTGTGTTTCTTTTTTTCTTATTCTATTATTCTGTTATTATTTCTATTATTCTCTTATTCTATACATAGAGTGATATATGACAAATATCGATTTACACCTGACAGACTATCTTTCATATAGGCATAATACATTAAATACTAAATATTACAATAAATGCATTATTCTTAGTATTCAAGGCAGAAAATTATATGCATATTTTCAAGATATCCAGCGTGGATTTTTACATTTGTTATGTAAAAAGTTGTGAAAATATTATAAATATTAATAAAATAATCTATATCAACGTTTATATTTACTCTTATCGACATTTGACATGCAGGAAGATATAGTGGCTGTTATTATATGTGCATAATCTACCTAGCTTATCTCGATTTGGTCGACGAAAAAAGATGACATGTGTGCTGAATATAATTCAGTGGGCGTTACTATATGTTGAATGCACAGATATTCAAGACTAAGGTTGTCTGATCGGCGGGGAGTCCTGAGCTATGCTGCGGAACGTTTCTCATCTGTTTGGACATGGGCTCACCAGGGAGACCCCATTATCCTCAGCCCATAAACATTAAGCGTCTCGCCGACGAATGTCCGTTAAGAATGCTATCGTGTGCCACTGTATTGCGGCGAGAGGCGACTCGAGCTTCTGTGTTGGCAGCCTACCGAGATAATAGTGGGACATTCACATTGGATATCGCGCGAGTGAAACCTTTCCGTCAAGTCGTTAATGGAGACGAAATTGTCGTCTGTGCTTGTGTAATCAATGCTCGCTTGGTTTTAATCGTCGGAGAAACGCAGCATGAATAAACGCATATTGAACACAAAACCGGTTTTAGAGAGAATGATCTTGTCGTCATGACCTCGTCCGTTTTCAAAGAATCTTTCGTAAAAAATGAATGTGAGATTTTAAGAATGAAAATAATTACTTTACACAACAAACTAAATTAGATGATTAAGTGCAAATGATTAAATCTTTTTACTATGTTCCATTAACTAGTAGCTCATATAGTAGCTACATTTAGTAATAAGCAAGCCTCATCTATTGAATTTTTAATGATAATTGTATGATAATTGCATTTAAGTAGGTCTATAAATTATATTGCAACGTATATGTATAGAATACTACACATTTATAAAAAAAATTTAAATGAGATTGTATATATGACTCAGCAAATATAAGGTGATGTTGTTTCACATTAAGGAATCGCCACTTATGTGCAAATTAAAACTGAAAGTTAAAACGCAGCTGCTTCCACAGTTTAGTTTAGTGCTCGTGTGACCGTTGAGCAATTCGTATCGCACAGTCTTTCGTAACGTCACTAACACATTGAGTTATCTATATCTAGTTCCAGTGACTGCACACATCATTCAAACATATTTTCCTAATATGTTTGTACATCCGTTGTCTGTCATCTTTTTTTTTATTAATGATAAAAATTTATCAAATGTGCGTAAAATGAAACTATTTATATGAAGTGTTTTGTAACTGTCTTATGACTGTCTTTATCCATAAATTCTTTTGTTAAAGAGAAGAAAAGATAAACTTTGACGTAAGTATTGAAACAGCAGATTTCAATGTATTTTTATTCAAAACAATATTTTGCAATAAATTGTAGAATCTTTAGATAAGAGAGTGTGTGTTAATTTAAAAATTGAATAGATATCAAGCAATAGATATAATATTATCAGTTTTATAAATTGAAGTTTATAAGCACATTAACTGTAAAAAAAACATTTATATTGTTTACATTGTTTAATTAAATGCGGCATTGAAAACAAGTTAAACTTATGCCTGGTATTATTTAATATATGCAGAAGGAATAATTCTGAAAATACTCATTTTTCATTTTAATACATAATAAGATTTACAATGTTTCGAAATTTTTCTGCATAACAATATTGTGTATCTATTAATACGCAATCGCGCATTATCGATATATACAGGAGACAACATATTTATTAACAGAATTGAGAAAGGCAGTAAAACCTCGAATCGTATTTGACTTATAGGCTGTGTTCTGATATACATTGTGAGTATTGAAAATTTACAGTATATATAATATGCACTATAGATTTTTAGTATTAACAGTGAATAATGAAACACAACCATAGTAATATTTTTCAAAATGAATGTCGTCCATACAGAGAGAATATTGCGTGATATGGATAACTTGAGTAAGAACGTTATCTCGCTTTTAGTAAACAAATATATTTAGCAAACATCTGGTATTAAAATTGGAATTAAAATCGATATCAGAGACAAAACATTGTTTAATTAAATGCGGCATTGAAAACAAGTTAAACTTATGCCTGGTATTATTTAATATATGCAGAAGGAATAATTCTGAAAATACTCATTTTTCATTTTAATACATAATAAGATTTACACGAATGTTTCGAAATTTTTCTGCATAACAATATTGTGTATCTATTAATACGCAATCGCGCATTATCGATATACAGGAGACAACATATTTATTAACAGAATTGAGAAAGGCAGTAAAACCTCGAATCATATTTGACTTTACAAGTGACAGTAAGCTTCTTGTTATGCGATCTATAATCTCATGTCGAACGTAGGAATGCTCAGCGTCGAGACGTAAGGTTATAGAAAGATATTTGTGGAGGAGGAATCTGGGTATTGGATGTGCATGAGTGCCGTCTCATCGTCGACGATATAATTCGATAGTCGTAATCTAGCAGTTGAATGTGCGAGCAAGCGAAATCGAATTGGTGATTGTATCGATACGAAAACAAACGACGAAAACAGGGACACTGGTGCAACGATTTGAAACGTAATGGTCATTAATGTCATCGATTCATTAACCGAGGTCATATTGGATATTCAGAACGATGGGTAAGGAAATAATTTCTCTTCTATTAACATTTATAATAAAAT